TCCCTAGCCCCACCCCCTCCCTCACTGCTGCGGCCTCAATCTGCCCCCCTACTCCACTTCCCTTCCCCCTCCCCCCATCAGACTTACCAACTGGACCTGGCTGCTCTCCATGCTGCTGGGCTGAGCTCCTGGCCGCCTGCTTGCTGCACTGTGGCTGTTCATGCCAAGGATATTTACTGACAACATTATCAGCCACATCAGCCAAAAAAAGCCAATTGCCAATACTGTCAATTTTCTTTATATTGGTGCTGCTCTGATATGGGACTGATGTATCAGTGCACCTCTAGTACCTCATGTTTATAACATACTATCATCACTACTCTGTTAAGGTAGGGATAGACATTCAAAAAGCCTGAGCCTGAATTGATTCAATCTTTGCAGGTTAGTCTAAACCTGGCTAGGCTAAACCAGTTTGTAACTGTACAGATGTCCACTCTGGACTAAAGAAATGCAGGCACATGCACCCCCTATGCAGGAGCTGGTGGGTGCTAGAGCAGCACCCTCCCCTCTCTTCCAAAGTGCTGAGCTGAGGTGGGGCATGGCCAGGCTCTGGCAGGACGCTCTGATTAGGGAGAGGTTCCCCCCTCCCCTACTGTTGATAACAGAGCATTGAGTTCACAGCAGGGAGTTACACAGGAAGTTGTTAGCATTTGTGAACCCATCAAACAAAACAACAGCCTCTCTCATTAGTTCAAACTCTTCTTAAATAACTTTTTCCGAGGAAGAAATGGAGGGACATTACCAGATACCTGTTGATTAGCTCCAAAAAGCCCTAAGCCAACACTGTGTTGTCTGCCTTTGTCCCATCTGCCACAGCATGGACCATAGCAATGTGGTCTGCTAGCTAATGCTGAGAGGTGTCGGTGTAAGGCAGAAGGGAGGGGGAATCCCTGCTTGAGCAGGGAGTGGGGAGGGGCAGGAGGAAGCTAGGCAGACCCTGCTGTACCTGCAGTCTCTGCCGGAGCTGTAGCCAGGGAGTAGAGGGGAGGGGCTAGCCATGATGGGCTGGAGCAGAGAGAAGAGCCGTGCCCAGAGTAGCAAAGCATTTGGGATACTGGAGGACTCTGATTTATCTTAAACCAGGAAGGAGTCTGGGACAGACATTGCATAAACTAGTTTGACCCAAATTGGCTAAGCCTGATACTACATTCAACCAGGCTTATCTCAAACCAGTTTCAGCCATTTTCAGACTGATTTATGTGCACTGAATGTCTGTTCTGTTACAGATTTAAACCAGTTTCTGATCACTTAGACAAGTTTATGTGTGATGTCTATCCCTAGCCCTGGTGTCTAGAGGTCTCAAGCAGGGTTGGCACTTCATAGGGTAGATACTACACAAATGAATAGGTGGTCCTGGCCTTCAGCTTAAAAGCCTAGGCAATCAAATAACATATGAAAGTGTTGGAAGACAATCATGTAATCAAGCAAATACATAGTATAAGTAGATTTTAATACTGATTCATTCTGACATGGTTTTTAAGGATTGGAATACTTATATATTGAACGTATACATGATTGCAAAGCTGATGTAAAGTTTATGATGGGGAAGAAAAATATAATGAAAATATTTTTATTGTCTAAGTGTGAATAAGCTAGGCTTACTTTTCAAAACTTCCTGGGATCATTTAAAATTAGTATTATCCTTGCATTCCCCTACAATAAATTAGTTAGGTTCAACAGTTCACTCTGGTATTCAGTGTAAGAAAAGGTGTAAAGATGTTGCAGGGAAGGTCAAGGTCAAAAATAGATCTGATCTTTGGGTCTCTCATAAATAGAAATCATTACTTTTATCATTTTCTGAATTAGCCATGCATGCTCAGATATAACCCAAGTGAGATATGAAATTGCTAGAAAATTATTTAATGATTTTTGTGACCCAAATTAAAATGTAGGAAGTGTTGGGGAGAAGAGGAAAATCACACATTATTTAATATATGACATATCTTGGTTTTGGTGCTTTTAATTATGTTATCTATCATATGGTATTCTGCTGAAAGCCTTTTTAAAGAAGCAGTGCATACTATGGCAAGGCAAATGCCAAAATAAAGAGAAATTTTACATATATTTATAAAGAACAAATGCTGTTCCACCTATAGCTTTTAAAGCAGCTGCACATTTCACAGCCTTGCAAAAGACAGAGCCCTAAATTTTCTTCCAAACCTGTCACATTTTGAATCTGTGCGTGGGAGCTCCCACACTCCAGGAGAAAAATGTGAATTTATTGTTCAGTTGTTTATCAGGATGTTCTTTATATGACAGACAGCTGGAATAGATGCCGTCAGGCCCCAGAATAAGATCGTTTCTTTGTGTATTTTGCCTGTAACATTTTATACTGTGGCACAACATTGAATTAGATCATGTCATCATGGCAAATACACATGTGCATATCAGTATATCACTGAAGTGTATCGTATATGTCATGTGACTTTTGTTATGGTTTGAAAGATGTCAGTGAAAGATTTATAACAGCATCCTTTTGATGTGTTTGCTGGAATCTTAACAGCAATGCCGTAGCAAGGAGGATGAGCAGGGCAACCTCGTCAGGTGCCACGAATGGTTGAGAACAGGCACTGCACAGCCAGGGCAGGGCACAGGACAGAGCCACAAGTGGCTCATTTGAGGGGGGTGGGGGGGACACAGGGGAGGCTCCTGCCACTGTGTACACTCACTGGCAAGCATGGTGAGGCGTGTGCCCCCTGGATCTGTGAGTGGGCAAGGGAGGGCTGCTGCTGCAGGCTTTGCCCCAGGCGCCAAACTTCATTACCACGGCACTGCTTAATAGATGCACTTAAATGCATATTATTCCTCTCATAAAGTAGATGTTGGATAGTGGTCAATATTGCATACCATTTTTATCTGCACTGACCTCACCTTTTGTAATCTTCTCCCCCTTTATGTTTAAGACTATTCTTTATAGGTAAATGCAGCACTGATTTGTGAAACAATATACTTAACGTTGTAAACAGGAAGGCTGCTAATTCCACATTTCCCATAGATTATATTACTTGGGTTTTTTTCCATTCAGGCAGTGTTGTGTAAATTCTAGTAGGAGCCACCTACATACTCTGCTGAGGGGAAGAGCTAAATAGGTTTCAGACAGTAGGCCTATACAATGTAATATGCGAGTGATTCTAACATTTTTCTACTAATCATTCTTACTCTCTAATCCCCCAAGTTATTCTCTTGAATGTCACATGCTAGAAACCACCCCATCTATGGTGAAGAATCAAAGATTAAAAATGTGTTGTACTTTAAAATTTGTTATTTTTTACATCTGGATCTCTAAAGTTAATACTTATTTTCCAGTGTGTATCCCTAACTTCAGAGCAATAAAAAACCTCCTGTGACAGAGAACTTTATGACATTGATGTTGTGCCTGATGAATAACTTTGTCTCAGTATCATTTGTTTTCTGAAATACTGAAATACCGGCTCTGACGCTTTTCAGGCTTAATACAAGAAAACTGTCACCTGAGAGGCTCAATGTAATAGCATTAAAAAGAAAAGAAAGAAAAAGGAAAGGAAAGCTTTACAGCTGTTGTGGCATATTGCTTAACAACATTCCAAATTGGCAATCATATATTTCAGTTTTTATTGAATGCTAGCCTATGGTAAGCACCTCATAGTAGGTTTCTAGTATTATATCATTGGACATAGTTAAAACTCTAAACCAAGAAAGCAAGTGAAGCAGCTTAAATACCGTTATTGTTGAGGGAAAAGTATATAATTATGACAATATTTTGCTAGTACAGGACTTTCTTTTTGATTATTTTTGATTGATATTATGTTAATGTTTCCACAGAAAATGAAATTGGTAATAAGCACTATCTTAGTTGTTGCTGCAGTAGTCTTACAAACAGAAGCGTTCAGATCTGTACGCTGTTAGACATTGGTTGTTTATTGCATTTGAAATTTCAGAAACAATTGAAAATGCATATGCTTATTTGCATCCATGCTATATAGAGTTCTTATGTTCTATATTCTGTAGCATCTTCTATACAGGAATCTCCAAGTAATTTACATACATTAAAGAGATTAAGTTTGGCAACGTTTATTTGAGTTAGATTATTATTATTCTTGCTGTATACATGAGAAATCTAAGGGCTGGGGGATCTAAATGACTTTCCATGTTCACCCGAGGAAGTGGGTCCTAACATGGAAGTCCATTTGTATTTCTAACCTAATCTAGTTATCTGTCGAGAGCTCCCAAAGCTCTCTTGTATCTTAGATTATTCTTCCCGTGCCCTTAACTCAATAGATAATTCATAGTTTTAAGTAATCTGTACTGTTTACATTATTCACTGGTGTTGCACACAGTAACTGCTCTAGATGTTTATAGTTCAACAGTCCAATTTCTAATAATATATAATTTACTGTTAAGTTGGAATTCTTGTTGTGCATGTGTGGGGCCAGAGAGAGGAGGAAATGGTGGTGATAATTATTGACCCTGAATGTAGAATAAACTTTGCTAGTCAAACCAACTCTAAAAGAAATATGACATATTATAGTTCTAGCTTAGATCTGTTTCATATCTTGAGGCTGCAAGTATACAATCATAAGGACATCTTGATGGAATGACACAGAGACCATTGTGTGCATTGGGAGAGGTATCGATTTTTAAATCATTTAATACAACTGATATGCTTTTATCCCTCTTCCCTCTTATCTACGTGATGCAGTTCAAATCCTTAATGTTCAGTGTGCATGGTATAAATGTGGTTCATTTGTGGAAATAAAGTCTGCTCTGCTTTGGCTTTTTGATTGAACAGTTCTTCAATAATTTTTATTCTCAGCATTAAAACATATTTCACATCTTTTTCTGAGGGTTAGTGACTTAAATCAGGATATAAACTGCAATTAATGAACAGACTAAAAAAATAGAAGTACCATCTTATGCTCATGGTATTGGTGGGTTTATTACTATAGCATTTGTTAAGATAATCTTAAAGCAAAGTCAGTGGCTGTTCATTAACTGTGTTCATTTCTCCACCCTCTCCAAAGGTCAACATAAGATCAAGTTCATCCCAGAAATGGTGGGGCCTATCTTAGAAATGACACTAATTCCTGAAACTGAACTTCGAAAAGCTACAATCCCAATATTCTTTGATATGATGCAGTGCGAGTTTCATTCTACCAGAAGCTTCCAGATGGTAAGTGGTCTTGCTGCTTACTTTAAGCTTGGGAAACAGTAATTGATCTCTACTTTAAAAATACTGTTTTAATAATAAGATCAGCTCACAGATCAGTATAATTACAGATTTCATTATTTCTTCTAAGGTTATGTAGCTATAACATTTTCATCCCAAGGAAGCTGACTCATGATACGTACATCAGTGTAAACTGGTTTATTCTGTTGTAAATGTAGAACAGACACGTGACAAGAGATTACAGTTCTAGCTTCAGTCAAAACAATAGACCTGTCCGACTTCAGCAGTCCATGAATCTGTGCCACCCTCTGCCCCACCAAAGAGATTTGGTTTTAGCATCCAACCCAGGGGGTTAGCTTCCTTAGCAGGATTACACCACTAAGGGGCCGCACACATTTAAATTCCTCAGAACACCAGGAGTTCACTCATTTAAAAATTGTGTCTGCAGTTCCAGTTAATTTTATTAATTAACTTATTTAATTTAATTAATTAATTTAATTAATTGTATTTAGCCTTTTGCTTCATACAAATGGGCTATTTCCAGGTCCCCTGCCACCTAGTGATAAGATTATATAATAGTGCCTACTGCAGGCAGCTACATCCAGCATATTACATCCATGTGCAAACCAGTATAAAGGACATCAGTGTAATGGTGTCATGTGTCCATCACCTAAGTGTTTTAAGCTCTTGTTATGTTGAAAACTTTTTTTTTGTGGAGTAGATAAAATCATCTTTGTGCTCCAGACGGAATAGGGACATGGGTATTCTAATTTTTTTACTGTAACTTGAAAAGGAGGCTGCCTTCTGAGGTAAGTCAGACTAAGAAATTCTGAGGCTTGGTATGAAAGAAAATGGGAAACCAACAATTATGTAAATGGCATACTGTTCCAGTCTTCCCCATAATTGTGATATTCTTTACCATTGTGTGGATGTGAGGAAAGATGGTATGCCATCAACTGTCACTGGCTTTATGTTAGACATGATTACTGCAAAATGCTAATCAAGTACTAATATAACATATATGAAATTTTACCCTGTGGTGGGAAATGAGGAAATCCCTCTTGAGCTATTTAAAATCTTGTCCTGCTAACTTCAGTTTTTGTGAAACAAGTGCAGTATAGTAAAATTAATTTTGACATAACTGTCTTTTTACCTGTGATCTATTATTTGAAACTATCTTATGGTTTGAATATCTAAGTGTGCATTAGAGGCCAGAATCTTACTAGCTTTTGATACGTAGGTGTTGCTTTTATATGACATAGTGTGAAGATTAGCAATATAAAGCAGTACTTTAAACTATGATTTAAATAACTTCAAATCAGCTAGTGTAAATCAGCATAGCTCCGCTGAAGTCAATGGAGCTATGGCAAACGGCTGAAGATCTGACCCTATGACTTCTGCAGTATGTTTTGAAGCTTGATATTAGTTTTTAACTAATTATAGTTATATACTAATAACCAGAGTTTATAGATTTGAATTGACTCTCTTGATTCTTGGGTGGAAAATAATCTTATTCTTTCCAGTACCTTTTCATAAATTAGGAATGTTAACCAACTTTCAACATATCTCTATCCAAAACAAATGAACATCTAGAAGGAATGACCTGTAAACCACTACAGTCTTTTATTATTTTTGGATTGTGGTGCACTACATGTTTTACAGGAAAGATGTAAACAGGATTGTACTTCAATCCAATTACTGCATAATTAGTTTTTTGTATTTTAACTCTGGTGTAAAAACTGAAGCAGTTAGTGGGAAGCCATTTTAATATTCAGATGTCAGTTGTTCACTTTTGTTACTTGTCATTTTTTTATTTGTACAATTATATGGATCATGAAAAATACAAGGGCAGGTTTATAGTTAAATTTGTGTCCCTATATTTTCTTGACAGAACAAGCTTTGCATAGAATAGTCTGGTGATTTTAATAGATGAACATCTTAAATGTTTAACCTAAACTCTCTTCCCCTATTGAGAAGAAAAATGCTTCATGCTTAACTCAGAGATGCCTTGAGTGTCAGATAAAAATATTCAGCATATTTTCTCATGTCAGTATAGCTTATTTCCTAATAGATACGTTAATACGACAGCTAAAGAAGTGGCTAACTCTTGTACAATGTGTTTGGAATGCACTTCTATTTCTAATGGAGAATATGCAGTCTGCCTGGTAGTATGATTATTTTATACTGTGCTGGGCACGTCACTGAAATCCCATCAGTGTATTGGTGTTATATCCAGGCATTTATGCAAGATCATAGACCAGTGGTGCTCAACATCTGGAGCCCAGGAGCTGAGCACTGCCACTGTTCACCTTCTCTTCCTCCCCAGCAACAGGGAAAAGAGGGGCTAAGGAGCAGCAGGAGCACTCAGCTTCTGGACTCCTTAACTGCACAAAAGTTGTGGCTCTGGCCAGAACCCAGGGGCTGAGTGCCACCACTGCTGCTTGGCCCTTTTTTCCCCTGCCACTGAATTCAGTAGCAGAAGGAGAAAGTGGGGTGAATGGCAGCGATGCTCAGCTCCTGGGCTCTGGAATCTGTGAAAGCTTTTGTAGCTGAAAGGGAAAAGGCAGTGGAGACCTTCCCTTGAAAACAAAAGAAAGCTATTTCAAAAAAAGCCTGGCTGCTCTGGGGCAGAGCATTGTCCCACTCCCACCGGGTTCCCAAAGCACATGGTTCTCCCTTCAGCAGACACCACTGGTAGATTACTGGCAGTGCAGGGAGCTAAGGTACAGTGCTGCCAGCTGGACAGTCTCCATCTGCCCTCCCCTTCCACAGGCCTGAGATTCTGCAATCCCGCCACCAACACTAAGGGCATTTTTACACATGATCTGGGGTGGGGGGAAATTTAATTACAGTGAGTCTCAGAAGCCGCTGTAATTAAAACACCCGCAGTGTCTTGTGTATCCGTTTTAAAATGACAAGTGGGGACACTTTAACTGAAGCTCATTTGACAAGCTTTAGTTAAAGCACCCCTCATGCATTTTGAAATGTGGGGATGCTGAATACACAAGATGCTGCAGCACTCTGGAGCATTCTGATTAATCAGGTTGTTATTCAGCATATAATAATCAATTAATTGAGTCTGCCCTGACATGTTCTAATTGGAACACATTCGACCATGTCTGTAGGTGCCCTGAGAACCCAGAAAGTCAGCTCCTTCCAGGCTAATGCAAGCTGGTGGGCCACTCATCTCAATCCCTGCTGTTGCACAGGGTACCATTTAAGCTTAAAGTTAATTATTTTTATAAAATTTAAAATAATACTACAGAATATTAAACTTTTTGCTTTGTATTAATGAGCCTAAAATGACTAAAAAGGTATCTATTCTAATATTACTTAAAACATCACGTTCTAATATTACTTAATTTATATTAGTATATGCTAAAATATAGAACCATAATACTTGTCTATGCAGCCCTTAGCCCACTTCTGATATTAAGGTTTGTCCCACTTGTTAAAAATAATTAAGGTCATAGACTGTAATTGGCATAGAATTTGACACCGTCTTATTGTTGAGCAGAGAGAATACATTTAGAAAAAGAGACCAGTTTCATGCGTCTGTGATCACATGTCTTTCTCTACCCCACCTAAGACATTCTTTTCTTTTCAACATCCAACTCAGTGGGCCAGGTTCTTTTGTGGGCTGGCAGCCACTGGGGGACACAAAGCACCTGTAAATGTCCAATAAAAACTGTTCCATCGAGGAGAGGAACTTCTCACACTGTATGTTCACAACAGCCAAGTCCCGTCTCTCTTCTTCCCACCAAGCTGCGTGGTTATGACAGCATTCTGTGATGACCATCCCTGGAGATGGTGCCTTCCAGATCCCACATTGGTGCTGAAGCTTAAAGTTTGAGTTGGGACTGGACCTGGTCCCAAGAACTGGAGGAGTCCAGTCTAGCTCCCTGATGCTTCTCTGTGCTGTTTTTCTTGTCTGTTATACAAGCTGTTGCTTATTCACCATCTGTGGTGACCAGTGTTCTTTACGTAACAAAAGCAGATGTATGCATTGTAAGAAGGTATTCATGCCTTCTTCAAATATATTACCACTACCTAGGTAGCCTTTCATGCTTAATTTTAGTGTGCATGCACTGCATTATACTGTATACATGCAACTACCAATTATCATTGTCCTCCTGTACTTGCAAAGAGAACTTAGAATTGACTGCTTGGCTGCTGTTTAACTAATCTGCCAGAAATCCAATTATCTAACCTTATTAGTCACATCAACAAGGGTTTAAATTGGCTCCACTTCCCCAGCAGATGTGTAAATCTCATAATATGTGGGGGTGGAATTTAGATTTTTCACAGAAATTTAATGCTAAAATATGTGCCCTGTGTTATTAACAGGCAACCCTTACTATGTCTGCTTTTATTTCAGTATCAATTGTTTTTCATCTGGTGAAAACATTAATAGACAACATGAGTGTATTTACACTTGGAGTGCTTACATAGCCTTGAGAGAGAGATGAATTTTACTGATTTTCTGTTCTGTCTTGAAAGCATTGAGTTAGAGGTTCTCAAATTGTGTTCTGCAGAGACCTGCGCTGACAAATGATACTGCCCACTTCCCACTCCCCTACCTTTTGTGTACAGCTCCAACTAGGATCCATTTCAAAGCATCAGGCTGCCAACTGCCTCCCAAAAAAAGCTATCTCCTTTTCCTCTACCACTTTCTTTCCTCGCATCACACCTATTTAAAACCAGTGGGAGTTAGGGAAAAAAATATCAGTGAGAATTGGATCGATTATTTGAATCCCAGTCCCAAATAAGCAATGGCAGTAAGTATTACAGTGGTGGCAGCACAGTTAGTCTGTGGCATGAACATACTAACAAACCAAGATCAAAAACACCCGTGATTCTTCCCATTTTACCTCCTTTGGGTCCACTTCCCAGGAGTTTTTTTGTCCCTCCTTTGCTCACACAAAACTTTAAATCTTATTCCCTGGGTCAGTGCCATAGTTTCCCCTCTCACCTTACGTTTATTTCTCTGCCTCCTCTTCTGT